CTTAAATTTTTATTTTCTTGGGGTGGAATTTTCGCAGACCCCCAAAATAGTTGAATATCGTTTCTTATTCCCTTTCCTTCTCAAATCTATCCTGATTGTTATCCCCCCCCTTTGTATCTTACTTTTGAATATATACTTATATATTATCACTTTCTTCCTTATTTCCTCCCTTCTTTCACCCCCTTTTCTACTTGCTGGCGTATCATGTTGGTTCCATATCTTCCCCTTACTTTCTTTTCTGTATGTCTTTCTCTAACCATTCATAAAATCTTCCCCATGTCTTGAAGTACACCGATTCCTCTTTATCCTTTATTTCCAAGGTCAATCTGTTCATCTCTGCACAGTCTACGTTTTTTTTTAATTATCTCCTCTTCTGTTGGTACCATGAGCACATATCAATGGGGACAGTAGGACAGGGACGGTGGGCATGCTGGTGTGCTTATGCACACCCCCTTTTAAGGACCTCTTAGGAAACGTGTGAGATCCACCGTGGACAGTTTTTAAGGTTAAAGATATGAGGGTTTGAGGAACTCACATCGGAAGTGTTCCAGGCATTGACCACTCTATGGTCAGTCAAGTTTTTATCAAGTTTTTTTTAATGCATTTATCCTTGTAGCAAAGGAGGAACATAGAATATACAATCCAAGGTGGCTAGATTGCAGGTGTAAAGTGTCAGGAAAGACTAAATAAAGAAGACACAGGAGTTAGAAATTAACAATATACAGGTAGAGATGAACAAACACGTAGAAATGGAATGAAGGATTGTAAATTAAGGACTGCATATAATAGTATCATATGTATAGACAAAGAGAACTGAAACAAGGGGGAGAAGTACATTTACAATGGATGTATACTGGAAATATTGTACAGAAGGAAATTGCAAAAAGTACTTTTTCTTTTTAATAAAAAAAACTGTTCAATAAAACTTTAAAAAAAAACAGTCGGGAGGTGATGTTACGTCACGACGGTACAACGCGCGATCTTAGATCGCTGTTGATATTTCTGCCGCTGGATGGTCCTTTTGGACCTAAACCACCCCGTAGAGACAGTGACAGAGAAGGGCACATCCCGCTGATCCCAGGGACATTCGTTTCAAAAGGCAACTAGACTTTTTTCCCCTTGTTGAAGATGTGTCGCTTCTCATCCAAGAAGCTTCCTCAGTTCTTCAGAACAGAATGGAAGGGAGCCGGAAGAAGTTGCTTGGGTGAGAAGCCAAGGACAAAGGGCAAAGTCCAGTTGTTTTTTGAGAAAAAGGAAAAGGAAAAAAAGCACCTTTGGGAAAACCAGATCTTTATCAGATGAACAGAGTTGGAAGGGACCTTGGAGGTCATCTAGTCCAGCGCTCACCAACTGGTGGTCCATGGACCATGGGTGGTCTGCAGAAAAAAATATTTGTATTTTTGATATTGCACTAAATACTATTTATCTCTTTTTTTAAAAAGAAATCATATTAGTGGTCCGTGGGAATTAAAATTATGAGTTTAGTGGTCCCTGAGGTCCGAAAAGTCGGTGCCCCCCACACACAGACCACCCAAGCAGGAGACCCTACACCATTTCTGACAGATGGCAGTCCAGTCTCTTCTTGAAAGTTTCCAGGGATGAAGCTCCCACGACTTTCAAAGGCAACTTCTGTTCCACGGGTTGATTGTTCTCACTGTCAGAAAATTCCTCCTTATTTCTAGGTTGAATCTCTCCATGTTCCGTTTCCATCCATTATTCCTTGTCTGGCCTTCGGGTACTTTGGAAAATAGCTTGGCCCCCTCCTCTCTGGGGCAGCCCTCAAATATTGGAAGGCTGCTATCCTGTCTCCCCTGGTCCTTCTCCTCTCTACTTGAGTCTCTCTACTTGAGAGACCGCCTCCTGCCAATTACCTCCTCGAGACCTATAAGATCCCACAGATTAGCCCTCCTCCGAGTGCCACCCGCCAGCCAGTGCCGGCTGGCCACTACGCGGAGGAGAGCCTTTTCAGTAGCAGCTCCGACCCTTTGGAACNACTTCACCTCCCAGCAGAGCGGGCTGGAGAATTCTGGGAGTTGAAGTCCACAAGTCTTAAAGTTGCCAAGTTTGGGAACCACTGTTGTAGACCAAGGTATGGGTGGGGAGGATGGGATGATAGAGAAGCCACCTCAGGAGAGATGGTGATGGAGCTATGAGACACTTCCATCCTCTTCTTGCCTGCCAGGGCATTATTCTGGCCCACTTCAATATGCCAGAAACGGAGAGAGAAGATCACTCTTCCAGCCAGGAGCCGATCAATAATAGAAGATTCAAGAGGAGAATATCCCTGAAAGAAGGGATAGAAGATGATCTTAAGAGTTGGAGGGAGAGGGAAAGGAATGCAGAGTTTCGTCCTGACCAAGAACTCAACAGAAGTTCAGAGAGGGAAGGGCAGGTAAGCAGGTAATGGTGGAGAAAGAAGAGTCCGGGCCCATCCCGGGTGATTTCCTGGCCACATCTGAGGGCCTCAGTCCTGCATCTTCCTCAGGGGGACCACCAGGATGGCCAACCTTGCAGATCACAGAAAGAGGACCACCCCCCCGTCCATTAGCAAAGAGCTGAGTGTGCAGATGGAGTGCCACCCTCCTTGCTAAGGTCTTCAGGTCCTTGTGGGTCAGTCAAGTTGAAG